TGGTGTTGATGTTACTGGTGTTGCTGTTATAGTTGTTGTTGAAGTTGACGGTAAAGTTTCGATAATGAAGAAGAATGATGGTGAAAAGTGGTTATATAATGGAATTTAGAAGTTATTGATGGTGTAATTAGTCGTTGGTGGTGTTAATGATGGTGTTGTTATAGCTATCGAGTACTTACGGATACACTGGTTGATGTTGTTCATGGTGTAACCAGGGAAACATTGGCAGGCACCGTTAACACATGAAGAGTATTGCGGACAAACAACGTGACACGTGATACGATCTAAACATTAGACATAAGGATCAATTCATCGATCTGTAGGAACCAGTCTTTTTCTCTTGTAGACTCACCTTTGACGCACTCAAAACCAGTCCCTACGTATCCATGGCGACACTTACACTTGCCATTAATACAGACAGCATGGATATCACATTTGGCGCACTTATCGACTAAAAAACACATTCAATCAATCAATCCAAACAATCCACCCAGCCGTCCTTTAGCCAGTCAGACATACCTTCGCAATGAGGACCTGTGTACTCCACATGACAAATACAATCRTAACTGCCATTGATTGGTGAACATGTGCCTCCATTCAAACATGGATTTGGGTGACAGACATCTTTTGTAGGCTTCTCTAACAAGACAGTGCAATGTGTAAGCAAAGTTCTCGTGCCCATTAATCATGAGGTATTCAGCCAAKCCCTGTTTGTAATTTGTACAACGTGCAGTAACTGGAAACCAAAGGAAGTACTCCTACCTTTTATCCAGTTACTTCAACCTTTTTCAAACTACTGACTACTAGCTAATGATAATCAAAGTAGTAAAAATAATCAATTTCGTATAGAATTAATTTAGTGAAAAAAGGTCTTATACCATTGCACCACCGAGTTTCTGATGCGATTCCTTGGAAGATAACACATAAGTCTTATGGATTAGGCTCATTAGGAATGCCATGAATAGCAGACAAAGACAGTTTGAATACCGTTTGTTTCAGAAACCCTTTCGGTAATTGGAGAACAGCAAACAGTGGTTCATGTGTTCAAAATTATGAAAAACTGAAAACCGGGGTGGAGATGGATTAATGAGTCAATGTACTTCTGTKATATGTATTTCCTTCACTTTTTTCCCCTCCCGAACAATTACATGGAATGAGTATGAGAAGTCGTTCAAAATCCCCTAATTCGGACTGGACGGGATTTCAAGTCTTGCATTTAGTTCCAGTCAACGCCTCGGACTGGAACTAATTTCGCGGATTTGAAATCCCGTCCAGTCCTCGGACTTCTTACTTCAAAAGACAAGGTCTGAAATATCGTACTTACTTATAAGAATTTCACACCGCGAACCAGTAAAACCAGTTGGACATATGCAGTACGGTTTGTGGTCACGTGGTTGGCAAGTACCGCCATTTTTACAGTAATCARCAGGACAAACAGCTGAAACAAGATGAAGTCAATGATAGAACGATAGAAAACAGTAGTGATGACCACAAAGATTGCCTTCCACATGGGTTCTCTCTGTCCCTGTTAAGGTATCACGTGCCCAGTTACATGTCGAGTTGAGCATAGTACAGTATAAATGAATTATAACGGTTCAGAATTGTCTATTGATAGTGATATATGAGTAGGTTTGACTTTCAGCATAGGTATAATATTGTTCATGATAATGAAAGAGATAATAATAATATTAATAATATATAAACAACAAAGAAGACCGCTGTGCAGTACTAACGTGTTTGGCAATTGACTCCCGTCCAGTCTTCAGTGCATATACAATAGTAGTCTTTGGAGCCTACTTTCCCCCTACATGTTCCACCGTTTTGACATGGATTCGGCTTACAAGGATTAAATTCTGTGAGATAAAATCCAACAACATCAATACTCCAGTTTCAAATTCTCTTTTTTGCAAGCATTGATTCAATCAAGCATAAATGTTTGTTGTCCTCTTTGTACACAAAGTGTTTGCATTACAACATGATCTCTGCTGAATAAAAGAATATATTACACGCTTTCGAGGTTAAGTCTAAGGAAAAAATCAAACAACATCAATTAGGAATAAAAGAACTTTACTTTATATAAATCTCTTGTTCGCGTTACTTTTGTAATTTTAGTTATTTCCATAATGCAAAATCATTATTTGTGACCCTAAAGGTGTCCAGTAGCAAGATATTTCCATTAGTTTCTTTGGATCTATCCGTAATAACGAGGTATTCATAAATACTGTTTATGAGGTTTATCAGAGGATGTTGTGGTTATTGCATACCTTTTTTACTACAGCCTTTGWCAACAAGACTCATTTCATCAGGACAYACACATCCTCCCACCTCATCACAGGACTGCGCGTAAATTGGTGGATTACTGCTCTTGTCACCCTTGGGACACGAGCATTCTTCAAAGATATTACATTAGTACAGCATGCCAAATTCATCAGGATTGGAGTGATTAAATAATGGCAACCCAGTGCCCATTTGTTGGGGGTTAATATGATGGCAACCAAGGGCCCATTTGTTGGGGCTTCATCTGATGGAAAGCCAGGGCCCATTTGTTTGGGGGTTAATATGATGGCAACCAAGGGCCCATTTGTTAGGGGTTAATATGATGGCAACCAAGGGCCCATTTGTTGGGGGTTAATATGATGGCAACCAAGGGCCCATTTG